AGAAAGTTCTTTTCCATCCGCGTCTCACCCGTGGAATGCTCTCCCAGAATCGGTTGTCTGTGCACCGACACTAACAGCATTTAAAAGACGGTTGGACGATGCACTCATTCACTTACAATTTGGTACTTAACACTACGTCTCCATGCTACACCTGGAGTTTTCCATGTAATTCTTTGTTTTTAAATGTGGATGCTGTGAATTTAGGAGGATCGTAGGACTGCAGTGAAGCGAAAGATAAGTTCTTATTTCCATAATAAAAGTATTACCTATTTTACTATCCTTATCAGCATTATTGTTATGTTGATATCCCCTTCAACTATCCAACGGGACTTATAACGCAAAGCTTCTTAACCCGCATAAATTCTTTGTTATTTTCAAACCGTACGTGGATGATATGCTTGTTTTCGATTCTATGAAGGTGCAAACGGAACCATTGGTAGACCAACTTAATAATGTTCGCGCCAACCTGAAGATGACTTTTGAATTCAAAACCAATGGGCGTCTTCCGTATCTCGACACTCTCATGAGTTGCAGGGATGATGGGCTGAGTAAGCGATTTGTATACCGGAAGCCACTGTAGTCCGGCCAATACCTACACTTTACTAGCTTCTCCCCGATGGCACACAAGCACGCACTGGTAAAACATCATTCCCTCGGGCCAGAAGTATCTGATCTAACGACCGCCTGCTTGAGGTGTTTGAGCTGGTCACTAAAATGTTTATGGAGAATGGCTACCCAAAGCGATTCTTTGCCAAATATAGCCAGGTTAGACCGCCCAAAGAACTGGCGTTGACAACCCCAAAGAAAAAGGTGTACATCGAGCTACCATTCAAGGGTGACACCGCAGCTAGGACAACCAAACGCATTGTCTCGGTTATTCAGCATACGTACTGTGCTGCGGAGGCGGTAATTAACAACAGAACCAGAATGTTGTCGTTACCTTCAATAAAGGAAGATGAACCCGTCGGCGCCAAATCACTTTGTGTTTACCAATTCGTGTGTGATCGCGGCATCAGTTACATCGGCAGAACTAAACAGGGTTTAGATTCCAGATTGAAAGAGCATTTACTAAGCTGGATTCAGCAAGAAGTTAGTCAGTTAATCTCCGATGGTACGTGCTCGGGTAAACCGCCAGCGTCCTCCATTGACACGCACGTTTTGGCCAC